GCAAGTGAATTTAGACACTGTCGTCGGACAACATGCAGTAATTTATAAATGTTATCAGGTTGGGTCCGGATTAGCCAGCAGGTGGATCTGGATCGCGGTCCGCTAAATCTAACATGTTCGGTACCAGAGCTGCTCTCGGCTGCAGGAGTCGCTCTAATTTGCATGGAACCAGCCGCCCGCTGAGCGGCTTGCATTTAACGGGGGATTTTCATATCAGTCAGCTGATAATAAAGCCAGTTTGCCTGCAGTGAATGCGTTTCTCTCCAGTTCTCTGCCTTCACAGAGGATCGATTCAGGGCTGAAAAGGCAGCTGACAGCTCCTCCTCCTCCTCTCTGTGTCTGCAGGCGATGCTTGTTCTAACTCTTCATCTGATCACTTTATAATCAGGCTCAGAGTGGCGACACTTGTAGCGCCTGCTGCTTTATTAGCAAACACATGTTTGATGTTTAGTTTTTTTTTTTTTAGCTCGATCCAGAAGCGACTCTTGTTTGCAGTAAACAGACTCAAAGTTTTGGGTTTGGATCAGGACAAAATCTGTCGCTATGAAATAAAAGCTCAGTCAATCAGCTTAATTTTTATTTTTGGTATTCTTTATTTTATACTTTATTTTATTTCATGTTTGATCAAAAAATAAGCCAGATGTGAAAATAATTAACGGTCTTTAAAGGTCTAACAGAAAGAAGTGTGTTCAGAGCAGTTTTATGGTGCGTGATGGTAGATTATCCTTTCCTTTCTCTATCTGGCTGGTCTAAATTGCACTAAAAATGCTCCAAGTAATAAAAATGGAGAGACTTTTACAGTACGATGGGCGCCTCTAGCGATCTGAGAGCAGTAAAACGTCATGAAACCCAGCTGTGACGTCAGTGTAGTCAAACGTCCTCCGGTGGGTGTACTGAAAGGATCTGAAAGGATGCTTAAAACGTCATTACAATGGTCTATTGTACTGCTGCCAATTTTAGGAAAAGTTTAGAATCGGGAAAAGAAATGTTAAATTATCCAACTGTTCGATAAATAGTAAATAGATTTGACAAAAATCTACCGGACAATCTGTGGCATCCAAACTGATACATCACAGCATCCGCTGGATTCAATTTACCAAAGTATCAACGGTTTGTTTTCTCTGTTTTATAGCTTTAATAAACTGCCTGATGGCAATAAAGCTGATTTTTTTATTTTTATTTCATAAAACAACAAACCTTAGCTGAATGCACAGTTAAGTATAGCTGCAGCTCCAGACGGATTTCCATATCATTATGATCCAGGCTCCAGAAAAACAACAACCGTAAAAGGTAACAGTCAGGTACCCAAGACAGGGACCCGGAGCCCGAACCCCATCCAGGCACTGCAGCAGATCACAGCCTGCTATCCAGAACCGCCAGCGCCGCACACAGGGCTCCAACGCTGACCGCCGGCCTTCACGCCGAAAATGTTCTGAAAGATAATGAACTTCTAGCGGCTCTGCGTAAGATCAAAGAACATTTAGCAGCAATGATTAAGCCAGCGAGCATTAATAAAACAACTCAGACTCTGATTACTTCGTATTTTTCCTCGTTAAAGGATAAAATCTCCATCAGCAAGGTGAATAAATAATGACTCTCTACGTAAAATAACTATTTCCTGACTAAACTGACGTCACGACATCCTACAGCCCTCAGTGGGTCACATGACCGAACGAGGAGTTTAGCGTCATTTGCTATCTTAGTGAATTATTTTATGCTTTAAACAACAAAATACTGGAATCTTTTTCACTTCTGATGTATTTAATTTTATGCACACTATTAAATGAGAAAGTACAAGTATGTGGTTTTCTATTTGAACTTTAAAAGCAGGTTTTCTTACTCTCATTATTTGCAGATTCTTAAATGCAGATTTAAAAGCAAACCAATTAAAGCTGCTTTTTGAACTACTTTTTATTGATCTTCTATTTTCATTTATTAGCTGCAGTAATGAGCAACCAGCTGCAGCCTAATGGGAGCGACGGACAGAAGGGTCTGTGAATAAAGCAGGCTGACAGACAGGGAGGCAAGGATGAAGAGATGAGATTTAGCTGAACTGAAATCACTTAGATGGAAAGTACAGATGCAGCTAAACTCTTTTCCTTGGTTGCAAACCAGCAGGAAACTCCTCTGATTTATGCCCAGGAGATGAACCTCTCTGCCCCGTTTATCAACTCCTTTGGGGAAAAAACCTAAAGATATTAAAGTAAACGATGCACCTGACTCTATGGAGTAATGATTCATTTCCAGCCTGGAAGAAAGACCCTCCCCTTCCCTGTTCCACCACCTCTCTCTGTGGGGGTGCAGCCCAGGTTATGAGCTGCTGCAGCGTCGGTATCATGCCTCCTCTGGCGATTCTACTCTTCTCTGTAAAGGTTGAAGAGTCTGAGACGTATCAGAGTTTAAAACAGTCATTAGAATGCATGTTTTAAGATATTAGCTGAACTAGGAACAGTAGCTGTCACTGTGCAGATTAGCATGAGGCTGACCAGAGATAGATGGGTCCATCAGCATTGAATGCTGTGAAGCTTCTTCCCAGAGGGCAGCAGGTAGAACAGTCCATGGTGGGGGGGTGAGGAGTCATTGATGATGTCAGGGGCTCGGGACACGCAGCGCTGGGATGAAATGTCTTTAATGGAGCTATGATGCTAACCGATGCCTGTAGCATCTGAGCTGGAGCTCTTTGGTTTTCCTCATTTCTTAGAGCTTTACGCCCTGACCTGGACTAGCTGGACGCCCGCTCCAGTGACGCCTGCTAGATGTTTGCCTTATGTTTCCGTCTCTAAGGAGCTCAGATGGTTCAGAAAGAAGCCGTTAGCTTCAAGGCAGCAGCTTATCATCGCTGAGATTTTTTGCCTGAGCCTTGACAGCACACAGCTGGACGCTTAGAGGCAGCAAAACGCCAGCTCTGACATCATGGTAACGCTTTAGGTTTGATGGAAATCTGAGCCTATTATGGCGCCCTTTAGATGCTCGTGTCATTCAACACAGGAAGCGTTTGAATCGTCTAACTCTGGATGCAATGTTGAGGGAACAGAAAATGGATGTTAGATGTTATCGGAGCAGAAAAGCCTCTTATCTGACAGAATGTGGGAGGAATTTGGCCGAACATGTTGAAGCTTCACACCGCTGTCATTTAACGCTCCGCTGCTTCGTTCTTCTGATGTTTAACTTTCTGTGGAACCGCCGTGGAAATCTGCCCAGTAGCTGCCCTCATCAGCTGACTCTCTGCCGCCATTTATCAAAAAGACATTTTTTATTCTACTTTCTTGAAGGACAAGTATGAGACGCAGCACTCGGAGGCATGCCGCCAGATCTCCAGCCTGGAGGGCGACCTGGTGGAGACCACGGCCATCAGAGATCAGCTGCAGAAGTACATCAGAGAGCTGGAGCAGGCCAACGACGACCTGGAGAGGGCCAAGAGGTTAGCGGGGGGCGGCAGGGAGGGAGGGGCGTCGGTGGGAGCAGATTCTAACGATGTTCTCCTGATCCCAGAGCCACCATCATGTCTCTGGAGGACTTTGAGCAGAGGATGAACCAGGTGATAGAGAGGAACGCCTTCCTGGAGAGCGAGCTGGACGAGAAGGAGAACCTCCTGGAGTCTGTCCAGAGACTGAAGGACGAAGCCAGAGGTGACGTTCTGAGGAGAAGCCGTCCTGCTTTCAGCTGAAGCTCTCTGACTCGCTGTGTTTTTTGGATTCAGATCTTCGGCAGGAGCTCGCCGTGCAGCAGAAGCAGCAGGTCCAGGACAGGAAGCCTTCCATCAAAGAGCCTTCATCCTCCTCTTCCTCGGCGGCCTTTCCCACCCCACCGCTCACCCCCCCAGACAGGAGAACGGAAGATAAGAGCACGGCCGCGTCCGCCCTCCATCCTCTTCCTCCCTCCGCTACTCCGTCCAGACCTGCGGCGTCCTCGGAGGTCTTCAGCACCCCCCCGCCGTCCGTCAGCAGAGGTCAGGCTCCGCCTTAAACCGTTTCTTTTTCCCTCAGAGTCCAGATGTTCACTGTTTGGTTTGTTTCTCAGCTGAAAGTCTTTCTGGGACTCCTCTCACCACGTCGGCCAGAATCTCCGCCCTCAACATCGTCGGCGAGCTGCTGAGGAAAGTCGGGGTAAGATCTAGAGTTTGTTTCTATCAGGGTTCCTGCGGGTCCTTAAAAAGACTTAAAAGGCCTTGAATTCTTCAAAATAAAACTAAGGCCTTAATTAAAATG